GACGGTCAAGACGCCCTCAGATGGGTCTTGTGACTCAATCTTCTGTGGTTGTATTAACGTTGGTGTATCGTTCGCCGTCTTCATCGTCGTCATCATTATCATCGGTCTGCTTTACAGTACTTGAAGAGTTTGCTTCGTTATGATAAAGTTACTGTCAGAGGAGGTGGACCACAGAAAGATTGCGATGGTGGAGAAGGAGTGAGGTGTTGGAGTGATAGAAGGAGGAAAGGAGAGAAGTCGAAGAGTGAGAGGGGGAAAAGAATGGTGTTTAGAGGACGACGAGCTGAAGTAAGGGAGGGGTGTGGGGGTAAGGAGTTGGATTTAGAGAGGGAGAGGGAGAGTTCGTGGGGAAAAGGGGAGGGAAGAAGTGTTAGGGAAAAAAATTGAAGTGAGTGAGAGGGAACGGGAAAAAGGGAGAGGTCAAAGTGAAAGAAGGAGGGAAAGAGAGAGGTCGAACTGGTAGAGGGGAAGGACTCAGTAGCCACACCCTACTGTACTAAGGCCCCCCCACACAATCGCCGCCACCATCACTTTCACTGGCCTGTGGCAGGGGGAACGATCCGCCCTCCCTTGCAAGGATACACAACACTTGCTTAATCCATGCCTCCCCATGACCCCTTCCCCCATTGGCGTCACCACTCCCTTAGCACCTTCCCCCCCTCCCCTCCCTTGCTCCACTCCACTCATCAGGTTGTGAAGTAATTACTCGCATGGCTAAGTAAGTGGAGTTCCCATGACCCTCTCACAGGCTACCCACGGCTCCATTTGCGGTGAATTTGGGCGCACATTGCTGGCTCTATAATACTTGGAGTTCCTTTTTAGCACTGTTACCTGACGACGCAGTACTGGGTCTGTAATATTGTGTATAGGGTTGGGTTACGGCACACCGCTACGCCCCTGATTCACAATTTTGGGATAATGCCAAGAATGGTTTCGTGATCTCTAATGTGCAGTGATAGTCTGTGGTGCACCGCTGGAGGAAGCTCAGTACTATGAGGGAGACAAACTACGAGACAAGAGCGACTCATGATAATAAACCATTTCGTGACTGAGGTTGACGGGAACTCAACATCACTAAAACTTGATAAAGCTGTACACACAACTCTGGAGGGATGACTGTGTTGTTTCCGTTGACACCATGAGGCACATACATATATCGACGTCTACACACTCATATACACAGTTACACCAAAGGTTTAACACTATAGATCGTACTACACAATGTATATTTCCTTTGTAATACTCTTCAACACAAACCCACACGTACTTGAATGAAAAAATGCATAGATGTTCTAATTCACAAGTATACATTATTGGCTCATAATAAGAAATAACATAACACGTACAGGATGCGTCACGGGAGGTGTTGCACGAGAGGTCCTTTAGTCAAACGGTCTGGGATTGGTCTCTCATCCAACCGAAATACCAACCAGGGCAGCAAAAAAAAAAAAAAAATCGGAATCTTTAAAACTCCTTACGTTCAATATAAACATTTAATTGGTATATATAATTAACTAAAACTGTGATATAAAAGTAGCTGCTAAAATTAGGTTCAGACAGCAGAAATTATTAAGGGAAAGATTTAGGTTATGAAAATTTAATAATCCTCCGTAAGTATTGTACCACCAGCCAGTGAACAGAGAGCCAGTGTAGGAACATAACATTATACATTACTGACTTTATACAGAAAGTTCTATCTCCCCCTGTGTTTAATTGTTGATGAGTTAGTGTATTTACTAATCTGGTCACACACACACACACACGCACGCCTAATAAAAGTATCGCAACCCCCATAATTGATTAGGTCCAGTGGGCGGTGTTACTCCATCGTCTCATAACCTTGGGGGATACTGACCGGCCGGATACCTCTCACTCATCCCTCATACTTACTCTTACTGACACGTGTAGAATATTCATGAAGGGTCGTGAGGTTTATACACACACACACACTGACTTTGTTGTTTGTTAATGTCAATAAACCATTTCTTTACCATTCAGTCTTCATGCCCCCCCCCAAAAAAAAATTATATAATTTTCTTGTAATATTTGATTAAGTTTTCTTCTATATATTAAACATTTTTTTTTCAAGTAAAGGTCTTTTGATTTTTCTGTAAAGGTTTATTTATTAGTTATGTTTTAAAAGTTAGGTTTGGTTAGGTTAGGTTAGGTTAGCTTAGGCTATGTTAAGTTATATCAGGTTAGGTTAGGTTAGGTACTCTACTTCCCGGTTATTTGCGGCAAGGCGTAACTGCGGCCCTCCCCTCCCCTCCTCTCCCCTCCCCTCCCTACCCTTTCCCTTTGCGGGAGGGAGTGACTACGGCTCTCCACTCACCTTTCCTCTCTCTTGCGGCTTTAAATGACCCAGCGATCTCTCCCAGCCCCAGGTGCCCCGTTTGCGACCATGACCGCTGTCTAGACGCTGAATACTGACCTAGAATACATTAACGCCTTCACTAGCATCCGGCGGCCAGGGAGGAGCAACTCACCTCGCGGACCTTGTTACCTGGTATGTGGTGTAGATGCCGGAGTGAGGGGAAGCAGGTTGGGTAGTAGGTGAAGGGACTGTGAGGAGAGGGAGGAAGGGGTACTTAGGTGAAGGGTAGGAAGAGGTAAGGTGGAGGTAAAGGTAGATTGAAGGGGAGAAAATAGGTTGGAAGGAGGAGGAAAAGAGAAAATTAAGGCAGGAGAAAGGAGATAAGGATATTGGAAGGAGGGAAGGGTAGGAGAGAGAGAGAGAGAGAGAGAGAGGTGAGGAAGGTGGAGGTATAGTTGAAAGGAAGGAAGGTAGAGGAAAGGATAAAGTGACGTAGAGAGAGATAAGAGGGAGGTTAAAGGTGAGGCTAAGGACAAGTAAGAACTAGGATAAGCTTCCCTTTCTTCTCCCCTCATCCCCTCACCATCTCCCCTCTAGACGTGAGAGACAACCCCCTAGTAAACATACTGTATAATATTCCCTGGCCTTGTGTTAGTAAGACATCGCCGTAGTGAAGTTAGAGCGATGTTCCTTCCAGTACTCTCACTATACACAGTGCTGCTGATTTGTCCTCCTTTTCCTCCTCCTCCTCCTTGGCCTTCTTTTCCTCCTCGGCCTCTTTTTCCTTCTCCATGGCCTCCTTCTTCTCCATGACCTCCTTCTTCTTCTCCCCCTTCTCCTCCTTTTCCTCTGTCGTTCCCTCACTCTCACCCTCATCCTCCTGACGATGCGGTTCTCTCTGGTACAATAACTTGAGTCGTCCTTTGGTTGTGGTTGTGTCCACCATCAGGAAGGACTCATGACCTCACCCCTAACCCACTCTTAACGGGATAAGGAAAGACATTGCATTTTATAGTAGGAACCATAGTTGCAGAGGGAAGAGGGTGAAGTTAAGATGGCCCTTGACCTATTTCATGACCTCGGTTTTCATTTTGTTCTTCGTCTGTAGGTCAAGTTTCACTCACGCAGAAGTTCCGGGCGGAAGAGTAGTTCATTACTAGGAAGGTCGAAGTATAGGTTATGGTGGTGAAGCGGCGGTATGTGTGGAGGCTGGCTGGGTGAACCCCATCAGGAAGGTGTGGTGGAGGGAGGTGTTTCGTCAGGTTGTTCACGAGGTCACACGTTACCCCGGTGGGAAGGTCTGGCTACAACTAGGTTACTGTAGCTATATATATGAACATTGGAAAATGCTTAAACAATCTTCTGTGCTTACCTTGAGAGAGAGAGATTATATTTACAGTTTATTTCGATACTTTCATGAGTAAAAACACCTCAAGGCTCTGTAAATATTATCAACACCTTTGGCATCCAATTTAAACAGTAACAAAACAGGTATCTCACTACACCTGGAACCTCCTTTAATACACTGGCAACAAAGACAGAACCTTAGGACACACTCATAATCTTCAATTTGGATTCGAACTTACGTCTCGAGGAGGTTTCAGACCAAGAGAAACCCTTTGACTAAACCACGAGCAGAAAGAACACTCCTATAGGTAATGACTGTATGTGTATTATATATAGAGTACATACATGGTATACATACAACATACATAATACACATACAATGACTTCCAGCTGTTTCAAAACTAAATTATCTCACCTTTCCTAAGGATATGAAGGTACGCATTTACTTACGCTAGAGTTTAAGGTTAATTTTAATACCACTTTTTAGCTTCCATATTTGTGTCGTGTAGATGAAGTGAGACAGTTGAGGCCCGTTCCCACATCGCCGTGTTTAAGAAGAGAAATTATAGCTCGAATCCTGAAGACTTCGAGCTTATGACGCACTAATAATATATTAACTATACTGTACAACTGAGTGACAGATGAGTGAGGGTTTGCGAGGAACACATGGGAGGTACTGGGGGAACACATGGGAGGTACTGAAGGAACACATAGGAGGTACTGAAGGAACACATAGGAGGTACTGAAGGAACACATGGGAGGTACTGGGGGAACACATGGGAGGTACTGAAGGAACACATAGGAGGTACTGAAGGAACACATGGGAGGTACTGGGGGAACACATGGGAGGTACTGAAGGAACACATAGGAGGTACTGAAGGAACACATGGGAGGTACTGAAGGAACACATGGGAGGAACAGTTAAAACGGGCGAGAAAATAAACATTGACGAAGGATCGCGCGTATAAAGTCCGGGAGAGGATTTTAATAACACTCATTTAAGAACACAGGAAACAGAAACAGAATCCCGTTTAAGTATGACAACATTGTAATCCATCTTCAGTTAATATATGGGAATTCAGTTATAAACGATACTGATTCTGACGCAATAATTAAAATCAAAACGAAAGGAGTTGTCAGTATTTGTATTATTCATGTCAAGTAACATGGCGAGGAGTCCGATCTATTGTGCTGATGTGAACGTCGCCGATCACTAATTAACACCAGAGGTTGTGTTTTAGAGGGGCGGGGCAGAGTCAGAAGTAAGAGAGTAAAGAAGATTTCTCCATGGAGCAAGTCCAGGTGGCGAGTGTAGCCTTGGAACAGATGGCAGTACTGTATATAAGGCACCGGCTCCTGCACAACTTCACCACTCTCAGTCCAAACACCGAGAAGACACCACCATGAACCGACTCTTCCTCGTGAGTACAGTGAAACATTCCAAATATACAGGATCTTTTCATCCATGTCACTTCAAATCAAAACGTGAAATTAATGTTGAAAATCTCTTCTATTACTCAAATACTTGATACATATAATTCAATGGTATCCTTGATTCCAGTTCGCTTGCGTGGTGGCAGTCGTGGCTGCTGACAGCTACAAGACGCCCATCCCCATCCTGAAGGATGACCGCACCCAGAACGCTTATGGCGAGTACACCTTAGAGTACGAGACTGGCAACGGCATCTCCAGGAACGAGGCCGGCAAGCAGGCTGACGGTCAGGAGTCATCAGGTGGCTGGAGGTGAGGTGCAGGTGGTGGTTGTGTAGGTGATGAGGTGGCTGGAGGTGAGGTGCAGGTGGTGGTGGTGGTGATGAGGTAACGCACATCTGTCAGTTGAACACAGAATTGTGTTGTATCAGTTCAGTATAATCCTAGAACCCAGCAGATGATCCTCACCTATGGTAATAATCTACAGTATTTGGTGATTTAATAGTCATCACCATTAAAATTTTTGTGGATGTTTTAGGATCAGAAGTGACCATTTCCTCTCCACCATTATCAGTATTCACACAAAGGACTGATTATACTTAATTAAAACTGCACTTAGTCTGTCACAAATCTGACATCTGCTGGATATTATACTTTTAATTAAACAAGTGTTTAAAAGTTTCCAAAATATCTACTTTTTATGGTATAGTATACAGTACATATTGTTAATAACATTATATCATACATGTACTATTTTTCTAACATAATAATGAACTATATAGTGAACAAAATAACAACATCCAAGGGTGTAAGCCAAAGTTATTTTTTACTTCAGCTACACTGGTCCAGAGGGCGTGCCCATCGTGCTCACCTTCACCGCTGGCGCAAACGGCTACGTTCCCGTGGGCGACCACCTGCCCGTACCACCCACACCTGTGGCTCTGCCCTACCAGAGATCTGGAAACTAAACCTACAACCTGATCCTCACTCTCATATGTTTCCATTTTCACGGTCCTGATTCTTCACTTATCTCTGAGTGTTGGTGAGTCTCAACAAGAGTCTACCAGTCCATGATCTACCTGTCTGCCGCTCATGTCTTGTGGACATGTTTGGCCACAATCACAACTTATATTTCATTCTTAAAAATTTAAACTGTTTTTAGCTATTTATTCTGCAAGAGTATTTATTTCTTGGACAGCAATGTTTACAATTGTAAATAAAAAATAATTTTTAAAAGTAAATTTTTTAAACCCTCTTAGAATAAAAGTCGGGTTGTCTTTATCGTCATAAGAAATACATTAATAATGCCAGCAATGATAATGACAATATTAATAATATATGGCATCATCATTATAAATAAATGAGTGATATTAGATTTCCTTTGTGATATGTAACCAAGTTTGTATTAATAATTGCTTCAGAAGATTAGGATATTGATTTTCAATATTAGTTTCATGTTTTTTCTTCACCACCACGTGAGACTACAGCGTGATAGGCGACTGTAGTGGTACAATAAGTTAGGTAGTCCGCGTTATAGAGGTATTAGGTGATACAAAATAAATTACAATAAAACAATAGCGGTGTCATAATATATAATATTGATACATAATAAATTACAATAAGACAGTACAGGTGTTATAGTACAGTATATGGTAAACTATGGTGATGGACGGTGCAGATGGTGTGATGCTGGGCTAGTTTCGAGGAATCATCGGGTTATTTAGGTCATTATAATTTTCTTTATATTTAGAAAGTACAACCATACGGAGGAATATGAAACCACGAAGAATAAATGCTTCAAAATATTCGTAAAATATAAAAGGATCGGAGCTAATTTGTACATAAGAGAGTTATATAGTGTATGCACCTAGTGAAGACTATGCACCTTAATCTGTTATGATCTTTTTGTAATGAATCGTTAAACAAGATACAATATAAAAGGAGAATATTTTAATAATGTTACGATTAATATTGAAATATTAAAATACACTGAGGTAACAAACTACAGTATAAAGGAAGTACACAATTTTGTTTAAATGCAGACTTCATCCTTTATTAACATCTAACATTTGATCTTGATTGAACACAAGGCATGGTAAATATTTATAAAATAAATAAACCTGGCTCGGTGTTGTCCATCAGCTTAGGGTGGCGCTGGACACCGTCTTGAACCACACTGGCAGGTGCCGTGTGTTAGCTAACCAGCAAGTTATTTTTTGGTTTATAAATGTGTTTCTTTTGTATACAGCAGTAAATAAATATCTAATAAAACTAATTTTATGAAATTCACTATACTTTTCGATGAACCTTTAACCCTCTCATTGCTAAAGGTTTCCCAAAGCTGAAAAAAACTCGCGCGGCATCAGCCAGAATCAAATCCTTAAAGTCGTTCCTGTCACTCAGAGGGTTAAACTCCTCAACTCAAACTGGCTATGCCATTGTTTTTGTGATGATTGTGTGTCTGGCAACACCGTACAAATGTTTGGGGAAATCCTCTTCCCTGCAACTCATTCGGTAATTCAGTCATAAAAGCATTCACTAAAGAATACAAAAGTCTGATAAAATTTTGTGTTGCGCATTGAGGAGTCAAGAAAACCATCTGGACTATGAAGGCCTTAACAAAATAACAAAGAACAGACCGAGGGGCTAGTGAACTGATAAGAGGTAGATAGGATTTAAAATCTAACAATAGATAAATAAATTTAAAACTAACGAAAGAAAATAAGCAAAATCATTGTTCATGGTCGTGGTGATCAAGATCCCTTCTATAACCTTTACCCGCAGTGCACTCTGTTCAAACACAATAAATTAAGTGAGGTAAAAATGATGTACTGTAACTGGTGCCACAGCTCAAGGAAATAATACAGATAAAATAAAACTTGATCCAAATGACTACGACGGCAGGAAACACAGAAGGATGAAGAGATGACCACCAACAAAACACCTCCTGACCTTAACTCTCTGACGTCATGTTTGGCCACAGCTGCAGTATGATGTACTCGAGTGATAAATACTTAACAGAAATCAGAGAAAAATATATATTATCAACTGACTGTGATTTATTGAGTAAAAATTATGCTTTAAATTGAAAAAAAATAGTCGTAAGGGCCTAATAATACAACGAATTAAAATGGTCCGTGACTACACTATCTACACTACATTAATTATTATACTATCATTTACTTTATATCAACCTAAACGTGTTTTTATTGAGGACGTTCTACTTTTGGGACCAGAGGGCCGACCACTTGAGCTAACTCCCCAAAATTCCACATTTGGGGGAAACACACACACACACACACACACACACACAGGTTAAGTTAAAAAAGAAGAGCCCAGAGAAAACAGAGGCATAAGAAATATTAAGGTAATCCAATTACTACACTATACAGTATTAACGTTTAAGCTACAGACACATTATTCATGACTCGTGTTCTACTGCCACTGAATTATTTATGGAGATTTAATCACATCTGTTTTGAAAAGTTAATCAATTAATTAAAGGAAAGTTGTTCATTGACATGTGAGACAACAGTGAGGAAACTCTTCCCTTGGCTTTGTTACCCCAGGCCCCGTCCAGCCAAGCCCCTCCCTCCTCACCTTGGCTCCGCCCACCACACTACACCAGGCTATATAAACCCTGTCTCAGAGTTGGGACGTATCAAAAACACACGTTCAAGATGCATCGTCTTCTCATTGTGAGTTGATGTGATAGTCTAGTGTTGGTTGAGGTACAAGTGAAGGACCACGATGGTCTACTTATAATGAAAGATCATATTCTGTTTATAAACATACAATATCTTTGATGTGAATAAAAGATGCCGATTTTAAACGCTCATTGTTCTAATTTCGTGCAGGTTGCTTGCGTGGTGGCAGTCGTGGCTGCTGACAGCTACAAGACGCCCATCCCCATCCTGAAGGATGACCGCACCCAGAACGCTTATGGCGAGTACACCTTCGAGTACGAGACTGGCAACGGCATCTCCAGGAACGAGGCCGGCAAGCAGGCTGACGGTCAGGAGCATCAGCAGGCTGAGGTGAGGTGCAGGTGATGAGGTCATCAGGTGGCTGGAGGTGAGGTGCAGGTGATGTTTGTGTAGGTGATGAGGTGCCTGGAGGTGAGGTGCAGTTTGTGTAGGTGATGAGGTGGCTGGAGGTGAGGTGCAGGTTGGTAGGTGATGAGGGGCTGGAGGTGATACTCAAGTTTAATTTAAAGAAGCGAGTTTCTTGTGTTAATTCACCTTCAGGAATAACAATAATATAAACCACTTGACATTACAGTCTCTGCCGTGAAGCTGCAAAAATAACCTCAAATTATCCTTTATTGTTCCTGTCCACATTTTACATTGTTCCAAATTATTGGGTGATATTCACAATGTCATAGACTGAAACCTGTCAGAAACCTTTACTACATCTCTACCGACATGTGTTGCGTTGGTTAAGGACAGGTGTTTAGGGGTGTTGTCGTGGGGCTTCTCTTCGTCTGTTGGTTTACTGAAAGCAATACGCCTAGATTCTTGGCGTAATATCAACTGGTAGGAAATAATTCACAATGAACTAAAAGAGTAAGGTTATCTGGCCAAAACTTTGATGTATTGTGAAAAAAAATCTCAAGAATATTTTGATTTCTCTACTATGATAAAGGTCTATTGCGTGTCTCATAACGGGTCATTATTTACATTCTATTTTCTACTTCAGCTACACTGGTCCAGAGGGTGTGCCCATCGTGCTCACCTTCACCGCTGGCGCGAACGGCTACGTTCCCGTGGGCGACCACCTGCCCGTGCCACCCACACCTGTGGCTCTGCCCTACCAGAGATCTGGAAACTAAGCCCACAACCTGATCCTCACTCTCACATGTTACCATTTTCACAGCCCTGATTCTTTCCTTATCTCTGAGTGTTGGTGAGTCTCAACAAGAGTCTACCAGTCCATGATCTACCTGTCTGTTCCTTCATCTATCGCTCATGTCTCGTGGTCATGTTGGACCACAATCACATCTTTATATTTTATTCTTAAGACTGTAAACGTTTTAAAACTATTTATTCGACGAATCTATTTATTCCTTAGACAACAAGATGTTTATGATTGTAAATAAATTCTCTTTAGAAATCAAAATTTTCTAAACCCCTGAAAAAGATGTGATTATATTGTGTTAAAAAAATAAAAATAAAAAGAAAGATATAAATACTGATGACACTAAAAGAAACGATGATATTTATCCGTGTATTGATAATTATGACGATAATAATAATATTACCGGAAATAACATTTTAACAATAATGATACAAACGACATCAACTTCATGTTCTGTGGATAAACAGTAATGTTATGTAACAGAAGCTGCACAGGAGACCAGAAAACATGTTACTCGGAGACTTATGATAAAAAGAAAATATCCAAATATACAAAATGTTCGTAATGTACAGTTGCGGAAATGTGTTGCTAAACCTTCTGTGGTAATCCGTGTCTCCAAGCGGCCAACCTATTATGACCTAGAGCAAACCCATCCACTGACCACGTCCGTCGTTAAACGACCAATACCCATTCATTCATAAATAGTGATACTACTACAGCGACGGTGCCGTTTGGAGACACGGGTTACCACAGGGGTGTAGGAACACATTACCACAACTGTACGTAGCGAAAAATATATTATTGGATACTGTAAACGAGTTCTGCTGCCCGAAACTACTCGTGCCGTACTGCTCGTCTCCCCTGCTACGAACTACACTGTATTGGGATACTTGGCGGGAAGCCCCCTGAACAGGGAGCAGCTAGGGGTATATAAGCTGGCCTCGAGTAGTCCGTCTGATCTACCCTTCAGCTGAGATCAACCCCTGGGCGGCGTACTGTCCTTACCAGTCCACTGATCATCGGGGCGAGGTTCTGTGCAACAACTGTGGATATTTCACCGGAATTCTGCCAGGACTGTGTATTATACATTTAGTCATCTACTGTGAGTGTGAATAATCAAGTTGGTGTGTTTTAGTGGTTGTTTTTGTGGAGTGGAAACTGTTCAAAATCTTGAGTCTATAAATGTTGTCTCGTGTCACGTTTTTATTATTTGTTATGGGTAATTTAGAGTTTGCTTAAGGGGTTATGTCTTGGTAATTAAATAGTTTGGGATTATATTACAACTTGTATGTAACTATATATTATGTTAAAATTAAACTTGTTTATGATAGTTTTTATTAGCTATCTAGTATAATGAGTTTATCAGAACTTTAAAAAAG